AGGGATGGTGACTCCACCACCTCCCTGGGCAATATCCCAATCCCTGAGCATTATTCCCCCCAGTCCTGGAACCACAGAACCATCAGGGATGGAGGAAACCTCCAAAATCATCAAATCCAACCCTTAACCTGTCCCTGCTGGAACCACTAATCCTTCACCTCCAGTGTCCCAGGAGGTGGGACCTGAGCTGGGTGATGAGAGGAGATGGAGACCAACACTGGGAGCAGGAGATTCTCCAGGAGATATGGATTTGGGATTAAAACCAGGGAAGAGCAGCCTCATCCCTGCTCCAGGAGAAGCCAAGGGTGATGATGGATCCTTGAGCAGCCTCCAAACCTTCAGTGGGTTCCTGTCTGAGCCAACTCTGCCAGGAGGACATGCTGAGCCCAACGTGTTTGGGCTCCTTCCCATGCTCCTGCTGCTCCTCTCCAAGGCTTTGGAAGCAGCTCCAGCTCCTCCTGTGGTTGCAAACACAAGGAATTTTTTTTTGGGTGCCAAGGATTGGTTGGAACTTGTCTTCTCGGGAATGTTTTACATCATGGAGAAAAAGGGAAAATTCAGCCCAAAATGTTGATGGTATTTTTAGGCCAAGAGAAATCTGTTCAAGTGTTGCTCAGTCTGAGCATCTTGGAGAAGATCAGCAGGGAGCCAAGGCTGGAAAATCCTTGGATTTAGCACATGGAATGGGCATTTCATGGCTCAAATGGGCCAAAAATGGACATTTTCCAATCATTTCTAAGGCCATGAAGAGTCTCCAAACCTTGGGGAGGTCAAGGAGGAGTTTGGCCATGGCTCAGTTGGGTGGACAACAGCTCAACAGGGAGTTATACCTGGAAATCCTTGGACTTAGCCCATGGAATGGGCATTACCTGCCTCAAATGGGCCAAAAATGGACATTTTCCAACAGTTTCCAACCATTTCTCAGGCCATGAAGAGTCTCCAAACCTTGGGGAAGTCAAGGAGGTGTTTGGCCATGGCTCAGTTGGGTGGATAAGAGGATGAAACCTCAACTCCAAAGTTCTCCAGAAGAAATGTGTCCCAGGGAATGGAGAAGAAAGGAAGATTTAAGGGGTACACAAGACATCACTCAAGACAACCTCAACCACCTCCCAGAGTGGAGACACTGAGTGGGAAGATCTGGTTGCTCTATCCCTCAAGATCTACTCCAGATCTGGTTGCTCCATCCCTCAAGATCTGGTTGCTCCATCTCCCTCAAGGTCTACTCAAGATCTGGTTGCACCAACCCTCAAGATCTGGTTGCTCCATCCCTCAAGATCTGGTTGCTCCATCTCCCTCAAGGTCTACTCAAGATCTGGTTGCACCAACCCTCAAGATCTGGTTGCTCCATCCCTCAAGATCTGGTTGCTCCATCTCCCTCAAGGTCTACTCAAGATCTGGTTGCACCAACCCTCAAGATCTGGTTGCTCCATCCCTCAAGATCTGGTTGCTCCAACCCTCAAGACCTACTCAAGATCTGCTTTCTCCATCCCCACCCTGAGCTCCTCCCGTGGTGGCCCCACCAGGAGGCCAAGGAGCAGCCAGGAGGCCTCACCTCGATGATGTCTGCATTGGTCCTGCTCTCATGGGGCTCGTTGTACTCGGTGTACTTGAGGAGCACCTTGTCCATGTCGGTGCTGGCATACTGGAAGAGCTTGTTGGAGTGGTTGAAGATGATGAGGGCGATCTCACAGTCGCACAGGACGCTCAGCTCGTAGGCTTTCTTCATCAAGCCAAATTTGCGCTTGGTGAAGGTCACCTAGAAGCAAATTAGAACCTTGGTCAGAAGCTCTGGCCATGCTGAGACCTCCCAGGGTTCTCTGAGCACCACTTGAGGACCAACCAAAGGAATGGGAGGACAAAGAGACTCTTCCATCCTCACTCTCCCCAACTGGGCCCAACGCCAAGTTGTCCTCCCTCTCCCAACCACTTGCTGTCACTGCCTACTTTGGGCTCCTCCAAGCACAGAGACATTTCCCAAGGACCAGGATGGTGTTCAGCCTTGGGAATCTTCTCTCTTCCCTTGGCAAGATGTGATGGCCAAGGTTGAGCAGCATCTTGGTCCTTGGGAAGGGTCTCCATGCCTGGGGACACTGCTCGGAGCTCTGCATTGCTTGTCCACCTTGACCTCAGCCCAAACTTCACTTGTCCCTGGTCTCCATGGCCAAGAGCTGCTCCACTGCTTGTCCACCTTGACCTCACCCCAAACCTCTCTTTTCCCTACTCCTCATGACCCCTTCATTTGTCCACCTTGACCTCATTTGTCCCTGGTCTCCATGGTCAAGATCTGCTCCACTGCTTGTCCACCTTGACCTCACCCCAAACCTCTCCTGTCCCTGGTCCTCATGACCCCTTTACTTGTCCACCTTGACCTCTCCTGTCCCTGGTCTCCATGGCCAAGAGCTGCTCCACTTCTTCTGCCCCTTGACCTCAGCCCAAACCTCTCCTGTCCCTGGTCCTTGTCCCTGATCTCCATGGCCAAGAGCTGCTCCACTGCTTGTCCACCTTGACCTCTCCTGTCCCTGGTCCTCATGGCCCCATTACTTGTCCACCTTCACCTCATTTGTCCCTGGTCTCCATGGCCAAGAGCTGCTCCACTTCTTGTGCCCCTTGACCTCACCCCAAACCTCTCCTGTTCCTGGTCTCCATGGCCAAGAGCTGCTCCACTGCTTGTCCACCTTGACCTCACCCCAAACCTCTCTTGTCCCTGGTCCTCATGGCCCCATTACTTGTCCACCTTCACCTGAGGAGGAAGAGGAGGATATAGAATGAGGAGGAGGAAGAAGAGGTGCCCCTTGACCTCACCCCAAACCTCTCCTGTCCCTGGTCTCCATGGCCAAGAGCTGCTCCACTGCTTGTCCACCTTGACCTCACCCCAAACCTCTCCTGTCCCTGCTCCTCCGACCTCACCCCAAACCTCTCCTGTCCCTGGTCTCCATGGCCAAGAGCTGCTCCACTGCTTGTCCACCTTGACCTCACCCCAAACCTCTCCTGTCCCTGGTCTCCATGGCCAAGAGCTGCTCCACTGCTTGTCCACCTTGACCTTCACCCCAAACCTCCCTTGTCTCTGCCTCAGTGGAGGCCTCAGGTAGGCCCAAGCACCTGGTGGCACCCAGAGGCCACCTCAGCTCCCCTCCAGCCCTCTCCTGGGTGGTTGGTCACCCTCCAGGTGACACTGAGAGCCAACAGTGACCTCCTCCTGCCTTCTCCTGTCCTCCTCTGCTTTCTATCTGCTGCTGAGGACATTGGCCAAGAGCTGTGGCTTCTCCAGCAGCATGGTGAGCATTCCAAGGAGGTGAGGAACCCTCTGCTCTGCAGCTGGGCCAGGGAGCCCCAAACCAGTTCCTTCCCCAGCAGCTGGGAGCACTTAGGAGTGTGGCAGAGATGGAGTGTGGGTTGGGAGGCACAGCCCAACATCTGGCCTGCAGCTGGAGCTGCTCTTGGAGCCAGAACCCAACTCTGGCCTCAACCAGCTCAGCTGGAGAAGTCCTGGAGGAGCAGCTTGGTCAGCTCTGGTGGTGGGACAGGAGACCCCAGTTGGGTAGGAAAACACCTCAAGGAGGTTTAGGGCCACACCAAGAGGAGGTGGCAACCAAGACAAGGAGCTCAAGGTGCTCTTGGGGAATCACAACCAAAAGGTTCCACGTGGAGACTCCTTGGCCATGCCAAGGCTGAGGAGAAGTGGCACCAAGATGCCACCAGCAGCACCCACAGCGGGTTGGGTTGGGAAGGACCTGAAAGGTCATCTCAGCCCACTCTGTGCCATGGGCAGGGACATCTCCCACCAGCCCAGGTGGCTCCAACCCCATCCAACCTGGCCTGGAACATTCCCAGGGATGGAGCAGCCCC